AATAAAGAAATTCTGGGCTTTGTGTGAGCTGTTGGAACTTCAAAGCCCACCCCCACTGATACACTTCCTCCAACAAAGCCACACCTTCTAATCCTTTCCAAAGTTTCACCAACTGGGCATCAAGTATTCAAATATATCAGCCCATGGGGCCAATCTCATTCAAACATATATATATGTTTGACCTTGGCCATAAATTAAATCCCAGCATCACAAAAATAACTAAAATAATTTGGCTTAGGTCCTAAATAAATTTTGAGTTTCTAAAACAAATAAAAATTGGTTTGAGATCTGATATTTTAGATATACCAACATATTTATCTTCACCTACTCCTGAAACATAGACTAATATATTTTTCAAATGAACTTCCTGGCCTCAGGGAGGATCCGTAACTTACAGAGATCTAGGGAGCTAAACTAATACCTGCACTTGGGTAAGCAAAACAGGATAAAAGAAGAGATGTTGATCGAAAAATTAATGAACAAGGAGCTGAAGTCTCTGGGACACCTTTTTGTGTGGTCAGCTCCACATCAACTTTTACAAGTCCTTAACTTCAACTGGGAAATCTAATTATCAATCCACCATCATGCTAGCCTGAGCAAATGCTACAGAACATCTGCTTGAGACGTCCTTCTCTGCATTGGCTGAATGCTAGTTAGCCAAATAGACCAGTCACTCTCTGATTTTGATTTCAATACTACCTTGGCCTTCCCCAGTCAATACCTAGGCAGAGAATGGACTGGACGCTGTCAGAGCTTATGTTGAGTCCCGGCCTTCAGCATGGTGCTGCATGCATTACAGGTCATTTAGATCCTTGCTGCAGAGCCTGTAAGGTAAGGGGTCTCCTTATGTTTAAGGTGGGATCAAGGATTAGGATGGCATAAGGAGGTCTGTGACCTGCACAGAGGAGGAAAAAGAAAGACTACAAAGTGGGCCCTTGCTTCAGAGACTAGATCCAATGAGGCCAATCCCTGAGACTTGGGTCCAGCTGCTCAGCTATCAGCAATGAGGCAATTAGTGCCTGATTGCCAAGCTGGAATAAAAGTCCAGCAGCCAGACAGGGCTGTTTCATGGGCACCTCCGTAAGTCACAAAGATTTGGTATAGAAGTTTCCAGGTGTGGGAAGTAATGAGCCATGGAGACAAAGATCTAGGCAAGACCTGAAAATGAGAGCCGATATCTACGGATGAAGACATTGCCTTTAAAGATTAACATTCTAGTGTGCTTACCTCTCCGTTCTCACTTAATATGAATTTTTAATGTATGAAATGTGCATATTTCCTAAGTCTGGATTTTTGTAACTAAATATTGTAAGAAAAGCTGAAATGCCACTGTATTAGAATGTATGTTCCTTAAAAGGTTTTACCTCACTGAAAAGCCACATGCCTTTCCTTAATATGTGTTAGAATATTTGTATATTTGTATGGTACCACAGTTTTGCACTAAAAATCATTTTTGTTATCTTTGTGTGGAGATGCTAGGCACAAGAATGGATGGCTTTTCTTATTTAAGGAGCCCATTTACTTTCCAGAGCAATTTAGAAATCTAGTACAGTGGAAACCCCTGAAATCTAAGAGACTGACAGTAAAGAAGACTCCTAGTAATGAAGGATATGGAATGTAAACCAATCATCTTCTGTAACCAAGCAAGACTACCAGAGGTGACACTGAGACAGCAACACAACCACAAAACCTTCAACCTACAATTCGTCCTACTTGCAAGATGTGCTGGGGTACTGGTGGCACAGAGTTTGTGGGAGTGGCCAACCAATGACTTGTCTAAATTGAGGTCCATTCCAGTGAGAGGGATCCCACACCTGATGCTGCCTGGATGGCCAGGAACCAGAGTTTGGACAGCTTAGAGACAAAACATGACTGACAAGGAAAGGAAGAAAGGAAAAGAACCAATTCCTAATGATATTGTACCATACCCATAGATCAGAGTCTAGTATAATCATCATCAAAAAGGCAGCAACTGATGTGAGCAGATACAGAAAGCCCCAGCCAGAGCTCAGGGAACCCCACAAAAGAGAGGGAGAAAGATTGTAAGAGCCAGAGGGGTCAAGGACACCAGGAGAACACAGCCCACAGAATCAACTAACCAAGGTTCACAGGGAATCGCAGAGCCTGAAGCAAGTCACAGAGCCTATAAGGCTAGGTCCTCTATATGTATGTTGTAGTTATTAGCTTTGTGTTTGGGGAGGACTATTAACAATGGAAGCAGGGTTTCTCTGACCCTTCTGCCTGTTCTTGGGTCCCTTTTCCTCCTACTGGATTGCCTGGTCCAACCTTGGTGTGAGGGTTTGTGCCTATTCTTATTGCAACTTGTCATTCCATGATTGGTTGAAATCCCTGGAAGCCCTGCTCTTTTCTGAAGGGAAATGGAAGGGGAGTGGATCTAGGGAGCAGGAAGGTTGTGGGGATAGGAGGAGTGGAGGGAAGGGAGGCTGCAGTTGGAATGTAATGTATGAGAGAAAAATAAGTTATCTGTATATACAATTCATATATATGTATGTACATATATATATATATATGGGATGCATTAGTTCAAGCATTTTCTGATATTGCTGGTACCAATGAGGACTGTGCACCATGGCTAATAAATGCCAGCTCCTGCGGATCAGAAATGATATCCAAGTTTCTAGAACTTTCCAGGTAGTACTAGCACAAGGTAGTACAATTAACAAGGGCTTTAGTTGTTTTGTTACTGTATCAAAGTGATGCATGGATGAAATCCAGAAAGTGAAAAATGAAAGGAGCACAAAGCATAGAATAGATTAATTCCTCCAGAGGGAACCAGAATCCAGACAAGCAGCCACTGATGCCAAAGAAGCAGAGGTCATCCATGTAAAATACCGAGTCAGTTCCAGTGAAAGATTAGTACTGAAGGTGGAATGATAGACTATGTCCCCAAAGTTTCAGGGGCTGGGATGCTAAAGTAATGTATTTTATATGCAGTCTGTGAAGGATCAAGGGAGTGAGAAAGGGGGTCTGACACGTGGCTGTCCCACTCATTGACTCACTGTACTGTGGTTGGTTACTACATGAGACATGCACAAAATCGGGTTCTTCGTTCCATCATGGATCAGGCAGGTATCAAGAGCTCCTTCCTGGGGAGCCACTAACTGTTCATGGCTGCCAGGAGAGGAAATACCATTTTCTTCATTAGTGTAGCCACTGGGATCTTGTCCATATTCCAGGAAATAATCCTGTGGCAGGGCTCGTACAAGCAACCCTAATTAAACTCTGTGGGCCAGGAGACAGAAACAGAAAGGGGTAAGGGTAAAGATGGGGGGACCTTGTTAGGAAGAAAAGGGGATTCAAGGGATAGGATGAAGGATAAAACGGGGTACTCGGGGTAGACATAATCACAGTACATTGTGATTATGTATGAAATTAAAATAACAAGAAAAATGCAACTGAGCCTATGAGAAAGCATGCCCTGGCGGAAGTAACCCCATTATTATTCTTCAGTCTTTACTAGATTGTCAATTTCTTCAGTTAGAGAGCCCTGTGCCTGTGTTGACAGAAGTGCCTAGCACGATGCCTTACACATCATTGTCTCCATGAATATATATCTATGGGGAGCGCTATTGGTCTCCCCTCCCTTATCACCCTGACTTAAGATGGAACATCTTTGTGCTGGCAATCACCTGTGTCCAGGTGACTGGGAGGAAGAGAACAGGAGCAGAGCATCCCCCACCAGCAGAAATATGATCTCCTTTTTCAATTCACACAGAAGTCCGTGGAGACTTCTGTGGACAAGTTCCCATTTCCAGCATGGTCAAATACAATACACACATATGTAAAACTGTCATGAAACTCATCATTTTGCACAATTGATCTATATCATTAAAAATATCAAGATCAGAAGGCCCAACTCCCACTTCTCCTGAGTGTCTTAGTCCCAGGAAAGGAACATTATCAGCCAAGTAGCATTGGCTCTGACCCCAACAGGATACTTAAATACATCACCTTATATCCCAAATGTGTTCTCTCTTGGACAACACCTCTCTAGTCAGATACTGGTTTTGAATTAGTATCTCAAAATGAGCTGGTTCATATCTCAGCATTTTTGTATCCAAACCCTGCTTCCTAGAGTGAGTGCTCACATAAGACATTAAGGCTACAGATCACCTTTCTGGAATTTCACAACTTAACAATGTGGCAGAGAGATAGTGCTTATAGCAGGACCAGGATAATGATCCCACAGACAGAAACCAAGATGCTCCTTATGCTTATTTTTTAGAAACTGATAAATGATCTTAGAGTAGTGAAAGAGACAGAAAAGCTTTTGTATGTAAATTGCTTGAGACCCAGTGAGCAACTGAACACTGTTCAGGACAGTCATGTAAATCCTTTCTTTGGGCATTACACAAGAACATTAAAGGTCTCTCCAGTATCTCATTTTGACTCCCCAGGTCTAATTGCAAAAAGAAGGTGTCAATCTCCATCATTTCATTCTGCTTAGAACACCTTCCCCAAGGCAGCATCCATCCCTGAATAGAATGGAGACATTATTTCAGGGGACATGTGCCTAGATCATCTCTTTTTGTTACATGTTCTCTATTATCCTCTATTCTAAGTCCCAAGCACTTTTCCATTTTTTGCATGCATTGGCTCAACCTGAATTTCAGAATATTCTTTAAAAAAATTAAATCCCATTTCATTTTTCATATATGCAAATGAAGTCCACCCTGGCTTTTTAGAATTCCAGCATCACTCCCTTTCAGTCACTAATGTCTCGTCATGAGGCTATAGCTGGACTCAGCATTATCAGCTCCGTTCCTTTGCTATTTGGCGAGCAGATTATTTCCATTTAATGACAAGTGTTAGTCCTGAATTTTAATGGAATATTTTCTAACTTTTAATTGCTTTGAAAAATGAGAGGTTCTTTTTTAAAGGAATCTACACATATTTGCCACAATCATAAATATTTTAAAGAGAAAAATCTCATACTAGAAAAGCATAAAAGACTTGTCAATTAAAGCAAATAGGAAAGAGCAGTTTCAGAATTAAATTTGCATTATTTCACAACTGATTGGGGCAATTAATACGTTAAACTCTAGTCGACATCAAAGGCAAAGGATGTGTTAAACTTGTCTCTTAAATTATTAATTGACTAAAGTGATTTAATTATGAATTCTCTATTTTCTCTCACTACAGAAACACACTTCCTGTATGTCACACTATTTTTCTTTGGTCACTGAATGTTGAAGGCTTTCCCTCGTTGATGCTGAATAACAATAGATTCTTCAAATCGATTCGTTCCATCATCACCAGACTCCCGGAAGCTCCTGCAGCTGAGCCCCAGCGCTCCAGTTGTCACGTGCCACTCTGAGCCATAAAAGAAGACAAGTGAAAAGGCTGTCTTTGCCATGAGAAGTCAAAGATGAGCACTCACCCATCGGGTGTCGTCATCTCCATGTGTCTCCCACTTGTGCATCTGTTTATGCTGGAAAGAGTCTTTCACTTGTGCATCCGTTTATGCTGGAAAGGGTTTGATAATCAGACCAGTAAAGGTGAGGTGAGGTGGGGTGGTCAGAGAAAAACAGACAAAAGCCTTGCATTCAAAGAGTTGCTTTTGCTCACCTCAGTGGATTACATTAAGCTTGGGAGTTTCATTTCTGCAAATGATAAACCCACATTGCTTCCAAGAATCTCCCAAAGAAAACACAGGCACTTCCCTGTAGGGGAACAGACAAAATCCCACATTCAAGTTACTCAGTTTTATAATTTATCTATCTTTATACATTCAATGTTTTAAAAAAAAACTTTGCACACATGAAAAAGTCCAGGTTGTCACAGCAAATACTTACATCTGTCTCCTGGGAGTATTTTAAATAACTAAAAGATCATAGATGCAACTCAAATTCCCATTGAAAATGACTCAGGTTTGATTCCCCCCATTTCTCCCCAGAAGCAACTATCTCTACAACACTTGAGTATATTATCTCCATGGTTTTTTTTCAAATCTAACTACTTATATTTTCTTGAGTATATTGTGTTGAGTTTATCAAGTTCCCATGAATGGTATCATGCTATAGATATTATATTACAGCCTAATTTCATTCTCAGTATGATATTTTTTAATTCTTCCTATATTGATCTATAGTGATCTCAATAGTTTTTTATCAACATTTTGACTACTTGATAGTATTCCTTGTCTATCTGTGACTCTGTCCTTTTACCTAATTGATAACTATTGAACTTGTTGGTTGCTCACCTGTGTTAGCTGTGGTTATGATACATTGACCCACTTCAGACTACCCTTACCTTACCCTATTAATAGCTCCTGTATTTCAGTTCCATCTCTCCCTATTAAATTCCCAGATATGATGTTATTATTATTATTATTATTGTTATTAATTTAAATTTAAGGGCATGCTCATTTTTGTTTATTTTATACTTCTGCTTAACCCTTTTAATGTAAATGTTTCCTTTTTCCCTCATATCCTTCTTATGTCTCTCCCCTAGTCATCTCTGATTTTACCTCACACATTCATAGCCCTGTGCTAATTGGCTCCAGGATTCCCATGGACATGGAAACCAGCAGATACTCAAGACCCTTAAATGAGATAGCTCACTTGCATATAACCCATGCTCACCGCTGTGGATACCTGGGGTTGACTACGTCGATTCTAATCTTCTCTAGATAGCTCACTATTGGAAATTCTTAAGCCATTATGCCTCCACTTACACCCTGGATGGACTTTCTCAGAGTTGTTTTTCCATCAAGAACTTGACATTTGTGACAGAAAGGTCAGTTTCTCTGGGAACCTTTTTTAACTCCTGTGAGAAATAATCATGTGGGCAAGTTCCATATTTACCTTCTAAGTCTTTGACACTTGGGCTGTTCTGAGCTTCTGGTGACTGGGCTTGAAATTTCCTTTTCTTAGCTTTGACAATGACACTAATGCATCCTGTTAAGTATCTCACCCAATGTTTCTGTGTTTGGAATGATAGAAGGCTGCCTCCCTTCCTCCACTTTATCATAACTATTCCAATGCCTTACCTTTGAGCTCTCAAAGCCCTGCAGCCAGTCCCATGCCTACAAAACATCCCCATCATTATAAAGTGAAAGGAAGAGATTCTATTATAACAACTGCAGTGTTTTCAAATTTTATTTTCCTGTTTAATCTGGTTCAATACATTTTCATCCTTTAGACAATTTATTTCCCTCTGAAACCTGAAATCCTTCCAACATCTCATTCTTGAAACCTGAAATCCTTCCCACATCTCATTCTTTTGATGAGCTGTATTGAAAGGTAAAATTATGGCCTCTAGAAAATGTGTAAGGTTTGCTTCATAAATCTAACTTACATGAGCATTTTATTTGAAAGCAACTACAAAAGTATTACTTTCTAACTTTATATTTGTTGTTCTTTTCTTAGGATTATGTTCTTTCATTAAATCCAAAATAATCTTTGTAAATACCTTTTAGAAAAATGAATCTCATGAGAATTTTCAAGGAGAGAGTTAGATGAAATATGGAACAAATAGGAGACTGTCCTTGAGATATTTTGCTTGAAAGCTATAAAGACTCTGTGTGTATGTATGTGTGTGTGTTTGTGTGTGTGTGTGTGTGTGTGTGTATGTTTGTATACCACAATAGAGGCATAATAGAAAAAGTACAACATTATTTATTAACCCAGGTTGGTATAACTTCTTGATAACTCCATTAAAACTGGGGGAGATAAAATTATATAGTGGGTTTGCCAGCATTTATCTGACATCAAGTAACATTCCAGAAACTGTCTCAGTACATTCCAAGAACTAGTAATATCAGGTTATTACCAGTTTGGACTGTATCAATTTCAAAGCTATCAGATTAAAATTTTAAATCCTCCTTAAACTAAAGCATTTAAAATATTTTAAAATAAGTTGACATCCAATATACTTTTGTTTCCAGAGCTAAAGAAAAGTTGTAATTTTGGACCCTCCTAGAAAAATTAACAACATAGAAATGGGTAACAAAACTCATCTAAAGTTATTAACATGTATTAAATCTTTGCTATTTATTATTCTACATAGTGTTAGTTAATTATACTTGATTTTCTGCTCTGTGCTTCAAGATAACAGTCTCATGCCCTAAGTAGATAAGAAGCTACTGAGAGATAATGTGCAAAGTGGGAGTACTGAAAGACACCTCTGCCTGGGGATAGCTCTACAGGTAAAGCACTTGCTTCAGACGCACCAGGACATCTCTTATTCCAAAAGCCCATATCAAATAATGTCAGTGACAGCGCATGCTTGTACTCCTAGTGCTAGAGAGGCATAGACAGGAGGATCCTTGAGCCTTCCTGATCAGACACTCTAGTCTAATTGGCCAAAGAGAGATCCCAAAGAAGTGGATTATGTTCCTGAAGATGACACTTGAGGTTGTTCTCTGGCCTAAACAAACACACACACACATACCACCTTACACACATACACATACACCACACCAAACACACATACCACACTACACACATATACCACACCACACACACACAAACCCACAAACACACACACACACACACAAAGATGAGCTGCCCTTCTTCAGAAAGTCTGTGTAACCAAGGTGTGGCTCTCACCAACATTGGATGGGACTTTCTTTCTCCTTTCCTTTTAGTTTCAAAGTAATTTACATGAGACATATCCTTAAATGTATTTTCTATAACTGCAGAACCATAGCAACAGCTGTAAACTGACACTTTGATTCATGATGGTATACTCCATATTTTGTACCACAAGTATATTTCTGTAATTATTTTCACAGCCAATAACGTGGATCACTTAATCATCACCACAGTCTTGCTAATCACTCCACACTTCATATGTGTGCTGCTTTTTCCTTGACACCTCTATGTTTTCTTTGATTGGCTGGGATTCTGAAGGGCTGTGCACATATATGCTTTGCTTGGAGTATCAGTCTCTGATCATGGTTCCCATGGGCCCTTTCCATTACAACCACAGTCCTTCAGCTCTGAGTCATACTATTGGTAACATGGTAAAAATAATTTCTTCTGTACATTGTCTGAGCTTTCTGAAAGTCATAATTTGTTGGATATTGGTTTTCTGGGACACAATTATCACAATCTTGATCTCCAATCATGCATCATTTTGTCAGTTGGGTTTTCTGTCTTAATGATTCCCTGAATGTTATTTTCCAAAGCCTCTACTGAAGTTTTCAGTTTGGAAAAATCATTTTCAATTTTCTAAAGCACTTTCTTTTTCATCAGTGGACCACTTTGTGGCATTTTATTGATGGTTCAAATAAGAAATATATTGTGTTATCTAATAATAGTGTATCTCAGTGTTTTTAAAGGTTTGTTTTCCTGATGCCTCCAGTTTCTCCTGAATGTTGACATTCTTTTTTTTTTAATTCTCAGTCTTACATTTGGAAAGCCTTTCTTAGGTAGCTGTTAACTTGGTAGTGTTTTTGCATGACTAAGGCCTTAAGTGTCTGCTCTCTGTGTGTATAGCAGGGTGGTGCCTTATTTAAAATTCTTTAGAGACTTATCTGCTTTTTCTTAGGAGGACCCCATATGTCTTCTGAGATTCTCTCCCTGTTTGCACTTTGAATTTGAGCTCATGGAATGTCTGCAGTCAGGGTCACTCAGTGTGCTCTGTCACATCCCTGTTTTCTTCTCCTGCTTCGTTCTACCCTGACACTAACGATGTCCTTTATCTCCTTGCTAGTCTTAGCCCAAACACCCTATTATCAGAGGCTCTTCTGCCTTGATCCCATATCCACCCTGATAAGGATATCTTCCTAAGGATAATAAAGAGGGTGCCTTCTCTCATCAGGCTGCCCTCCCAAGCCCTAAGTTTATCCTCTTGAATTCATTTCAATGAGCTTCTGGAAAGCTCTCTTCTAGCACTCTGAAAAGAGTTTGTCTCACAGATTGGTGTCCAAAGGATGAAAGAAAGTCCTTGTGCAAGCAAGACCCTCTGGAGAACATTGTCTCCAGTTCTCATAAGAGAAGCAGACATTCTCCCCAGAGACAGCACTATCTCTGTCCCTTAAGGACTACATTTTGGAATTTCTAGGAGACTAACTTTAGAGGAGGGGGTCCATAAATCCATGCAACCACAGTCATCTGATGTCTTACAAAGGTGAAAAATACACACACTGGACAGAAGACAGCACAGTCAACACATGGTGATGGAAAGCATGTAGAAGAATGAAACTAGACCTTTATCTCTCAACTCAACCGCAAGTGAGTCAAAGACAGCAACACAAAACATGAAACAAGAATAACTTTTTTCTTTTCTTTTTCTTTTTTTTTTTTTTTTGGTTTTTCAAGACAGGATTTCTCTGTGTAGCTTTGGAGCCTGTCCTGGAATTCGCTCTGTAGACTAGGCTGGCCTCAAAGATCCACTTGCCTCTGCCTCCCGAGTGCTGGAATTAAAGGCATGTCCTACCACTGTCAGCTAATAATGATTATTTTACATTTCTTTTTAATAGTATTTTATCAATTTCTTGAAAATTTCACACAGTGTATTTGATCATATTTACTCCCCTCCCTCAGCTCCTCCAAGATCCAACCCTACCTCCCTACCATCAGCTTCATGTCTTCTTTTTCTTCTAACACCGTAGAGTCCCATTTCCACCACCCAAATCCTTTGGGGTATGAGGTCAAGCCGTGGAGTATGATCTACCTATGAGGAGTCACACCCTTGAAGATAACTGACCCTCACT